ACTTATTGACCTTGCGCTGAATCTCCACGACAGATGCAAGAAACTTACCGGCTTTTGTCCTCGGCTCGTAATCAAGTTTGGGAAGGGCGAAGCTCGTGGGCATCTCAGCATCAGAAGGAGGTGACTCTGAACGTGGGCGAGCAACTTGTGGTGGCGCGGCTGTGGTTCCTAGAGGTGCAAAACAATCCTCATCGCTTGGCAGAAACTCTATGTTGCCAACGCCTAGTAGTTCCGTTTCCTCTTGGTTTGGCAAGATACACTCCTTCTTCTCATTACCACCATTGATGAACAAGTAGGTGTAGAAACCTGGAGCTGGCGTGTGTCCCAAGGAGTCAGTGTTGCGCAAGTTAGTCTCGTCCATGTAAGCTCTCTCCGCGCAAGGTTGAAACTCCAAGATAGGTACCCCCGCTTGTATGAACAGCTGTGTGAGGAAGCCTCCTATTAGTGCTGAGCTCGCCTTGCACCTCATTGCCCACGCCTTGTCCCTGACCAAAGAGGAAGCCAAAATGCATCCATAGTTGACATCATCTCCAAGCTCATCTTCCATTGGCGGCAATCATTTCTGGTCGGCAATCATTCCTTAATCGACGGCATGTTTAGATTCTCTTGAGAGGATTTGTAATTCTTTCCTTTGGAGTGGACCTCCGAATTCTGCTAGAAATGCAAAAGTCTCATGGGAGTCGGTTTGTACTCCAAAGAAAGAAGGAGGTTTGGATTTGCAGAGGTTGAGCGGTTTGAATCAACTTTACGGTTTGAAGCTTATTTGACTCTTGTTTGCCTCAAATGGTTCTTTGTGGGTAGCGTGGATTGAAAAGCACATCATCAAAGACAGAGTTTTTTGGAATACAAATTTCCAGAGATCAGATAGCTGGATTTGGCAACGCATAATGAAACTAAGAGATCTGGCTCGTCCATGTCTTTCTTGTCAAATAAGATCTCGCTGCAAAGCACATTTCTGGCAGCAAAACTGATCAGAATGGGCCAAGAGTTTCAGGTATTCCTCTCTTAGCTAAGGTTTCTCATGAGGTTTCAAATGTGATCGGTTATCGGTTACAAACCTGTGATTAGCTTCGGCGTTGGGGTCTCTCTTTTTATTTTATTTTTTATTTTTTTCATCTATTCTCTTTCTTGACAATTTTTAATTTTTTTTTTTTAATTTCTACATCCTCTCTCCTTCTCTCCTCTTTCTCGTACCAATTTCTCATCTTTTCTCTTTCCTCATGTCTTCTCTTATTCCTTTACCAAGATACCTTTTTATGGATCTTTTATTATGGATGGATAAAATTATATCTAAATAGCATTCTAATTAGCTATATCCACACTAAACTATCAGCAATATACCTCTTCTATAAATCAATGATATCCACACCAAACCATCCACGACCTTTGTCTCTTACAAAATCGAATCCTTTTTTTATAAACCATTTATGATGGGTAAACAAAATCTTATCTAACTAACATTCTAATTGGCTATCCACACTAAACTGTCCACGAGCTTCACCTCTTATAAATCAGCTATATCCACACTAAACCGTCCACGACCTTCATCTCTATGGTATACTCACATATTTCGCATATTTAGCATGCATTTAAGATAGTTTTCATGCATTCATCTTGCATAATAGGCTAGTTTATACCATTTGTTGCATTTTAGGTCCTAGATCACTTTGCATTCGTATTTTGCATGTTTTTTGCATTTTTGCATCATTATCAGGTTGTTTTGGGACACTCTGGAGTTGTGGAGGTTGCGTGGACGTGCTAAGGATCAAGAGGAAGCTTGTGGACACTTGGAGAACTCAGCCATGCATGCAAAGAAACCGGGATCGAGGAGCAGATCGAGCTAGGCAGGTCGATCTAGATGAGATCGACCAGAAGATCGAGTGACTCAAGTCGTTTCATGAAGGAGGATCGAGACCAAGATCGAGAGAGAAGATCGATCGTGAGTACGGACGTGGATTACGCAATGCAGAACGAGAGCCAGATCGAGACCATGACCCGATCACCCAAGGATCCAGCAGAAGATCGAATGAAGTACTCGATCCATCCAACCGAATTGACTTGAAGATCGAGCAAAGGAAGACGATCCACCAGGAGATCGAGCTAGAGATTGATCGACCAACTCGATCTCTAGCACCTTATCCGACCAGCTAATATTTTGGAGCGTAGTGAGGGGACCAGTTTGGGGTTTGGCTATTTTGGGCAAATTATCCTATCACTTTCATTATCAAACATTTTAGTCTTATCTCTTTAGAGTTTATCTTAGGCGATTTTGCCATTGTTCTGTTCCTTAAGCTTTTCTTGTTTTGAAACCTTGAATCTTGTTAATCATTAAGTGTTTTTCCTTAATCGCTTTCTTTAATCATGCTTAGCGTTTCTTTCCTTGCATTTGAATCGGTTTTAACTATGTGTAGTGCGTAGTTTTCTGTGGGTTAAAGGTTGGGGTGATTCAAGGGTTTAAGGGTTTAAGCTTTTGGGATTTTTCTTGTTCTTAACTTAATCTCTTCTAGGATTTGGGGTCTTAAAGCTTAGAGAGTCTTGGAAAAGATCTCTATAATTCCAGGGCTTCTCTTACCTTGACCGGATTCAGAGATCCTTGAAAGCCAAATCCTATAGACTAATCTATCCTCTCCCAAACGCCATGGATGAAGAGGGGGTTAGTTAAGCCATTATTTGGGATCTTTGCTTAATGCTCTTTGACCCATCTTTCCACTACATGCCATAGGTTTGGAGGAAGGGTCGACGAAAAGGGGTCATACCACATGCCATGGATGATCCTAGTTTGAGTTTCTCAAGGCTTAGGGAAAGCTCATCAAATGAGTAGATCTATGTGTTTTCAAACCAAAGCTTGAACCTTTGAACTCTTTTGAACATGACCCTCGACCTTGAACCCTCTTTTTAGTATTTCAAACCTCAAGTAATCATCTTTTAGTCATAAAGCTTGCATCTTTAATCATTAGAAGTCATTCATCTTAAGTTGTTAGAAGTTCTCTATTTACTCGCCTTAGTTCTCGATTTTTTAGTAATTAGTAGATTTGCATTTTTAATCCTCTTTTTCTTCTAGTAGTTGTTAACCCTTTTCCAGGAATTTTAAAATAATTTTCTTGCTCATTTCGTATTGCATTTAGCTTTTGTCAATTTTACCATCTATTTACCCGTTTCTGCTTAGATTTGCATAGCTTCTGTATTCCTAGTGTCTTTCTTCACCCAGGCTGGATTGATACTTCTTGCACACTATACTACAACTATAGGTTGCTTGAGCTTTGATATTCTTGCTGCAAAACAATTTGTTTATCACTCTAACAAATCGGCTACAAATTAGTTGTATCGTGTACAAATGGTGTTTCTCTATCCATGCAACTCTATCCATTTTATCTTGTCCATGATACATTTATTTCTATATATTCATGGAAATGTCATAATTGATGCCCTTGGTTATACACGAATGCCCTTTCATGAACATGCTACTATGGATAAGCATACAATAATGAATAAACGATACAGTGTAAATGCATTAAAATTCATGGTAGACTATTATATGTTGATGTCAACACTCATCCACGCTTGGATATATATATGGAATTATTGTAATGGATGATGTCCATCAAACCAATGTCTACCGTCTAAGCAGATTTAGCTTGCTTATGTTTGTTTACCTAGATTTACTGGATCGACTATTCATAATTGATAACACACAATATTCAGCTCATGTAGATCCACAGCTGTTAATCCATAATTATATATCATCCATTATCTTGTATCCATATAAGTTCATCTACATAAACTGTATCAAATCACATATTCAGCTTTGTCTATCCACACATACTCATCGTCTACCTCGATATACTGCATCAAATCTCAACGTTAGCACCACTTCACAACGAAATCAACCCAAATCATTTTCCTAAGAGCTGCCTCCAATACAAAATATATGTACATGTGAATAATGTCTGATGGATATTGTATTTATATATGATGCTTGATCTGGATCACCCAACATACTTTTGAACCAGTGATAGAGCAGTTGAAGGAGTGTATGTTGATCACTCAATTTTGCATAGATGTCTCATATATAGACATGCTAGTATGGACGATAATCGGCTTATTTATCTATACTTGGTAACTTGGTTATATATGGATGCCCTTTTATGGAGATGCTACTATAGATGAACATACAACGATAAATAAGCAATACATTGTAAATGCATTAAAACTTATTGTAGGTTATGATATGTTGATGTCCACGAACACTTATCCATGCTTAGATATCATTTTACTATCGTAGATCTGTAAATATGAAGAATGGCAAAAAAGAAGAATGATGATTTTACAAAAGGTATAATAGAAAAAAGAGTAAAAAAAAAAACAAAAGAACTACTCTAATTAAAGAAAATACTCTTTCTTGTAAAAAAATTCTATAAAATGTTCTTTTTTGTTAATGTCTCTCAAAAGAATTAAGTAACAAAGTAAAATATAAAAAGGTAAGATTATAAAGTCACTATATACATGATTACTCATAGTGTTATAAATAAATAACTTTAAAAACATTTTAAGTAGTGTCAAAGACAAAGCAAAGTCATTTAATTTTTTTTATCTGGAGTAACAAAGTCATTATATCCTGATTTTATATAACCATTTTGTTATTGGTACTGCTTAAAATGGCTATAGAAAACCATGTATATAGTACGAAGTTTTAATTCATTCTGATTTATAACAACAAAAAAAGCAAAGATTTATATATATTGTGACAAGATTTGGCTAGACAATAACATAAACTTAATCGAGCAATTAGAACCGTTTCTTTGTTATAAACAGTTTGGATCTAGTCAAGAAATGGAAATCGAGAAATAACAAATTAGCTTTCTATTTGTTTGAAAATGAAATGAATTTTCTATAAATCTACCTTTATATTACAAATTTAGGAGAAAAACACGGAAACTAATATAATGCAAACTATACTTCTATTATTAGTCTATTGCCAAACCTCTTTATTATTAAATGAGGGAAGGAGTTTTACAAACAAAAAAACAAGTGAAGAGATGATGCTTTTGTGAGCAAATGGACACCCCTCATTTTAGTTGTTTTTCCTTTATTTAAACACCAACAAACAAACTAAACAATATCAAAAAAATCTGTATAAATAAAACCCTGAAGTTTGCAATAATTGAGATAAGAAAACACATTAAGACGCTATAACTCAAAAGGCATTAGGCATTATGAGAATGAATCTGAAAACCATAGTTACAAATTTTCTCATCCTCCTACTTGTACAAATCTCAAACTTCTCGGTAGTTGTAAACTCCTTACAAGCCTACCACAAGAAAGACTACAAGTCAGAGTTTAAGGTATTGCCAAATACGGTTGTACGATTCGTCATCTCCAATGATCTTTTTGGTCTGAAGAATAATGCAAACGCAGGTTTTGTATGCACAAATGGTAATAAGGTTTGGAGGAAAACCAAACCAGGAGATCGCTACGCTGTGTTCCAATTTAAGTATGATGGTAAGAAGAGGCATGCTTTCATGAATTGTCATCTCAGGTCTAATTTCGGTTTTGTGAATTTCCCGATTAATATTATTCCAGACGCATCTGCATATTGTTATCCTAGCTATGTATGTGGTTACTCGATTAGAAAAGATGGTGTTTTTTACAAACCTGAGAAAAAGCTTTATCAATGGAAGAAGTGATGTATAATATATATATATATATATATATGGTGATGATGATGTATGTGTGCGTTAAAACTTATAGGTGTAATTATTATAGAAATTTTGTATGATTTTCTTATTTTCTGTTTTTGTAAAATAAAATTTACTTATTAGACAATCAGTTTTTTTTTTGTATGACTTGCATGTTGGAACGTTATTGGAAATATAGTAACACATCTGAGGAGAACCACGATTAATGAACTACACATAAAATAAAGGTTTTTGCTCGCTTTAGATTATAGTCAGTCATCCAAAAGCTTCGATATATACATGTTTGCAAGGCAAAAAATCTCAATCCAAAAATAAAATCATGTCTTTTTTTTTGTAAATGAAATAACAAAGTTTTAAATATTAAAATGTAATGGAAAGTAAAAGCGAAATTGTACAAGAAAATGTAATTAACATGAAAGAAAAGATATTGTATATTTCCTTCATTTTTTATATAAGATGTTTTAGAAATTTTTTTCTGTTCAAAAATAGTTGATGTTTTCACATATTTATGCAAAAATTAATTGTATTTGTATTGTTTAAGCTGTTTGAATTCTACATATTCTTTTTCTGTTGATTAAATTATTTTAAAATTGATGATAAAATATGTTTTATTTTTAAAAATACAAAATTAAATAATTTCTTAATTTATGTATAAAACCTTAAACATCATCTAATAAAACTGAAGATAGTGTATTAAAAACAATCGTGACGGCAACAATTATTACCCCTGTTCAATCGTTTACTAGCATGCCCTGTGTTTATTCTAGTGTTAGAACAAGTCTTTCGTTTGCGTTTCCAACCCAGGCTTGGATGGCTTATTCGTTTCATAAGTCACTCAGTCATTTCTTGATTTACAACTGCTTCAGCTATTGTGATTGGATTATCCCAGTTGAAATACTTCCTGGGGTATAACGTTTCCCGGAGCAGCAAGCTTTTGCCCGTGGTTGAGAGTATAATAACTGGAGCTGATCAGAAACTTTGTAGTTCGAATGAGCTGACATTTAAATACTCTGCTCTTTTCTCCCAAGGTCCTTAATTTGACATTAAAGGTCTTTCATCCTTTACTTGAGATATTGGTCTGCAGATTCTTTTTTGGGTTACAATTCCTTTTTTGGTTCAATAGAACTCTTACGATTACTGGTATGACTTCATCTGGTTTTCTGTTTTGCAGTTTAAGTGGCCACCTTTCTTGTTGGAGTCTACCATTCTGGTGATCCTTCTAGTAATGAAGCATGTGGTATGAGGCTTGTTCTTTCCTATGTTGGCATGATAGTTTGTGCTTTCCCTACTTTTATTATGCTAAGGCATGATGTTCCATGGCAGGGAAAAGCAAAGAAGGAACTTCAGTTCATACGAGCAGCAGGGCCGCTCACAGGGCTTGTTCTTGGTACAACCATTGCAAAAGTGTTGCATGCACCTTCTATCTCACTGGTCAGATTCTCTAAACAACCAAGTTTTCTTATGTAATTTTTCATTGATGCTACATATTTTCATAATTTCATAGTATCTAGGATTTTTCAGGTGGGAGATATACCTCAGGGGATTCCAAAGTTTTCTTTCCCCAAGAGTTTTGATCATGCAAGATTATTGCTTCCAACAGCGGCTCTCATAACTGGTGTGGCCATCTTGGTGAGATATAATCGTCTTTGACTTCTTCTAAGTGGACATAGGCAAATTGCAGCTGAACCTAATCATAAAAAAACTGTAAATGGATGAATATGGTTGAGATATAGAGTAATTTGACCTCTTGAGAAGCAGAAGAGACAGTTTCTTCATTAGATTCAGCTGCAGTTTGCGCATATTTCGCTGAATTTGTTTGAATATGTCAAAGTCATGTGGTCTATTATTTAGAGATTAGTAATAGGCAGAATTTACTAATGTAAATTTGTTTTCATATGTACTCACGGACATGCGTCTAGGTTGTACCTTATGGGGTCCTTTTGCAGATCAAATCGTTCAAATGATACAATCTTAGAAGATAACAAACTGACCTGTTTCTTGAAGTGATACTTCACTGCTTAAAACTGCCTACAACGCAAAATCTGGAAATATAACCAAGGTGACATGAATCAGACGCGACATCTTAAGAGGTAACAAGAGTATATCTTATATGTAAAATTTTCTAATACTATTTATGAGTTTGATGCAGCGCATAGAGGATTTGCTAGGCACGGATTCATTTCTTATATATAAAGACTGTGATGCAGATGCATCTAATATACATACTGAAGAGAGAACATTCACTACTACATGATGGGTTCAGTGAGTTTTAAACACTCCTTCAGCCAGAAATTTACCTCAACATTTTCTCCGTACCGGTTAGTTTGTGATTTAGAAGGATATTCATTACAGCCATATCATCAGCCAGCATCAGAATTATCTTTTCATCTGGTATTCTAAGTCTCTTCACTATCCTAGAAACACCAAGTAAAGAGAAACATAAGAAACAAGGTTCTAATAGATTTCGTTAACTGTAAAAATAAACTGATAGTAAAGAAGCATTGTTTACATACTAAGAGAAGTTGCTAAAACTAATTTATCTTACTTACAAAAGCGTTCTCATTACTTAGAGAATGAATCAATAAAATTTTCTGTTTATATACTTACAAAAAAAATAAACACAGAGGAAAGTATAAGCCCCTTAGCCACATCACATCTCAGTTTCTTTATAGTAGTCGTTTGAAGTCTCATAGGCTTCTTGGCATGAAAATCATGTTATTCTTTGAGTAAATGTCCATTTACGAGTATGTAAAAGGCTCATGCATAAAGAAAAAGCTTTTCTACTTTCAAATAGTTTCACTAAAGCTATTATATATATATATAGTATTGTCGGTTATTGTAGAAAGCTTTTATACTTTGAGAAACATGTGAGCTCATTCTATAATCGGTAATTCTATCTTCACATGCATTCAACTGCAGAAAAAAGTCTAAAAATTTCCAAACCATCAAGCCGACTCTTTTTTAGAATCACAAAAGAGGCATACAACTCACTGAAATTTTAGATCGAAGTTGTGGTTTGAATCGAAGATCCCTAACTCAAAGAATATTCGGGATGAATCTAACAAGAATTTTGTTGAAAAATATGAAGCAATTAAAATTAGAATCGCTTACTTAGACTCTAAATCTGGAAACCAAAAGATGACAAAAAGCTGTTCGAATTCAAGCACCTGATAATTGCATGTCGTGGTACCTCGACTTAATCTGAGGAGCATCCAGATCAGCCATTGAAAAAGATGGACGATGAAGAGGAACATAGAGTGGCGATTCACAGAAACTGAGGAGCGAGAGTGATTGATTTAGTCGAGTCGGCGGAGGGGGTTTAGTCGAGGGTGTTGGACATGCGGAGGTCACGGCAGAGAGGATGGTTCTAGGGTTTTTGCGCGAGAGGTTGAAGGTGGGTATGGAGAAGAGATAGAGGGTTAACGGGAGAGGTTACGGAGAGAGATTGGTGAAATCAGGAAACAAAAACAAAATTAGGTCTCATCTGGTTTCGATTCTAATTGTCCTCTAAACCGGAAACAATTAATCCTGCAAATTTGATTCTAACTTTAAAATTAAAAATTAAATTAATTTTTTCATACAAATCATACAAATCAAATTAAAAATATTAAAATTAAAATTTTAATACATCTAACTTTTACATTTTTAAATAAATATCTAACCCACACAAATCTACAACGTATATTCTAAATTTTCATACTTCTATTTTTATATGTTATTTTAAACAGAGTCTTAACATAAATGTTTTGAATTAATATTATTTGTTAGTAGTCAAAATAATTAAAAACATCTCTAAAATCTAAAAGGAAAATTTAAAATAATTATTTAATAGATCTAATTATTCTACTTAAAAAGAGTTTATCATATATTTTTTTCATTTTAGTGTTAGATATTAATATATTATACAAATAATATAATTAACCAATAATCTATATTCTTTTAAAACTTGAAAGTATTGTATTTGATTTATAAATCAATCAAAATTTTAAAATATAAATTTTTAATTCCAATAATCGATTAAATTATACAACAAACACACTCTACCACAATTGTTTTTTAAAACTAAATCTTCTACTAAATATAAATTGAAAAATTAAAAAAATATATAAATTCGCATAATCTCAAAAATATTTAAAAAATACATAACTCCGCGTAAAACGGACTAAATCATACATAACATCATTTTAACTAAAAATAACTCATAGTACATGAAAATATATAAAATCTCTGAAAATCAAACTTAAATGAAATATAAAACCCGCACTCATGTACATTTTTGCGGATTGTATAGATATATTATACAAATTATTTTCATATATCTTTTATATTCTGAAAATCTAATTTAAATGAAACATAAAACCTGCACTCATGTATTTTTTTCGGATTGTATAGAACTATAGATATATTATAGAAATTATTTACATCTATCTTATATAGTTATTAATGCTTTTAAATTTTCTTAAAATTTAAAAACAATATGGGATAAATAAAAATTAGTTATATTTAATAGGTTTAAAATATAGAAAGTGAAACAAATAAGTTAAAATTTAGTGCAATATATGATACACTAAAACTAAAATAATAATGGGTTTTATATTATAAATAAAAATATATACCAAAATAATACATCGTATACAAAAATTGAATTTGTCTTGCAAATCAAAATTCAGGATCAGAGTAGAATGTAATGGGAGGATACTGACGAGATGCAATTTGATTTAAAAAAACTCTAATTCTATTCATAAACCTAACTAACTCAAATGTAGCTTTATCTATGAGTTGTATAGATACATTATACAAAACAGAAAATATAGTAAATCTCATATATAAATGTATTTGTATATGAAATCAAAATTCGAGATCAGAAATAGAATGTAACGGGATGAATTTGACGAGATGAAATTTTTGATAAAAAATAATTTTGTTCATTAACATAACTAACTCAAGTATAGCAAATATTTTAGGGTTGAATCAATAATATATAAATAAAAGCAAATTAGAAAATACTAACACAAATTCATGGTATATTAAAATTTATTAATGTATGTAATAAATGTATGCCAAAAATGAAACTTAATGGTTTCTATATTATTAACCGAAATACAATACATCTATAGCAAAATAAACATCTCATACAACAATTTATTTGTATAGAAAAACAAAATTTGAGACAGAAGTAATGTAATAGGATTATTTTGACGAGATAAAAGCTTAATAAAAAAATACTAAATTCTCTACTCATAAACCTGTAACTAAAATATATCAAAATTTCCGGGTTGCATAGATGCATTATACAAATCATTCACATCCATCAACTATGTTTGTTGAATTTTTTAAATTTCTTACATAACTTCTTATTTTCTAACAACAACTAACAATAATTTGAATTTCATATTTTGTTTTATATAATCAAATTATCAATATTTTTTTCTTACAAATTATAAATCTATCTGATTTTAAATCACATTCTCAACTATAACAAAATATAATCGACAAACGATACAATAATTGTAAATACAAAACTACTAAATTAAAACAAATATCACACACAAGCGAAACCTAAATACCATTCACAAATAATACAATGTTCCCATTCCAACAAACAATTAAATCATACAACAAACATATTCAACTAATATATTAATAATATAGAAAAAACTAAACTTTAAATAAAACTTAAATTTAATTAATTTCAAAAACATTATCCCACGCATAAAGCGGGCTAAATCCTAGTGCTTATATATTGAGAATGAATTGTGTTATACATCGAACGAAATATTGGTTTATATAGAAGTTAAAAAGAGAAATTTATTGTGTACGTATAGTGACGGTGGGCTCCATAATTTATTTATCACATTTTATATGTTTCTATTGTTGACATTTATGTGTTGTTACTTTTTGACCTTCGTAACACTCCCCCTTGGAGACCAGTGTCACAATAACCTTTGCTTAACATATTTGTTGCCTCATTAAAAACCGTTCTAGAAAAACACAGTGGAAAAAACCATAGCAAGGTAAAAAGAGTACAACCATGCTAGCTCCCCCTCGAATGAGTAGGGTGTCGTCTTATAGGTCTTGTTGCTGATGCATTTCGATATTATATACATATTTTCAGAACACAGTGGTGGGCAATGATTTTGTTAAGAGATCAACTGCATTGTCACATGATCGGACTTATCTTTCTTCAATTTTCTTATTCTTCTCGAGTTTTTGAGTGTATGAAAAGAACTTTGGAGGGATATGTTTGGTTCTATCACTTTTGATGTATCCTTCCTTCGTTTGTGCAACACATGCAGCATTGTCTTCATACAAGATAGTTGGCTCTGTATTTTCGTGAATTCCAGTGCTTGATCGGAAGTGTTGGCTTATTGAGCTTAACCATAGACACTCTTTTATTGCTTCATGAAGTGCGATGATCTCAGCATGGTTCGAAAAAGTGGCCACAAGCATCTGTTTCTGAGAGCGTCAAGATATAGTCGTGCTTCCGATTGTGAAAATGTATCCTGTCTGAGATCTGGCTTTGTGTGGATCTGATAGATATCCTGCATCTGCAAACCCAACCATTTCCCATCTGAAGTTTTAGGGTAAAACAAACCTAAATCAGTAGTCCCATGAAGATAACGAAAAATAAATTTAATCACATTCCAATGTCTTCATGTAGGATATGAACTGAATCTTGCCAAAAGATTAACAGAAAATGATATGCCACGTCATGTACAATTTGCAAGGTACATAAGAGCTCTAATTGCATTTAGATATGGTACTTCAGGACCAAGTATTTCTTCATTTTCCTCATATGGTTGGAATGGATCATTTTCAACCGTAAGTGATCTAACAACCATATGTGTACTTAGAGGAGTTGCCTTATTCATGTTAAAGAGTTTGATATCTCCATTATATATACCATTTTAGCTTGCATTCATCACTGATATGGCTCAGGTTTGGCCCAATATATTAAATACTGCAAGTGCACAACAAAGCAATTGTAGCATAAAAGGTTATCGAATCCCAAGGGAGTGAGCTTACTACACTAACGATTTGTAGATTCAGATTAAGCTAAACAGTAAATAATTAATGTAATGCGAAGTAACTACGATTTGTGGTTTATCTAAGACTTAGAAAACTAAAAGCGCTAAGTCAGGTCAATTCGCAGGTTGAATCTGAGAGTGTAGAATGCATGCAAATCAGGAATGAATTAGAACCGTCTTCAACATGAATCGCAAAGATATAACTAATCAATTCTCACTGAAAAAGTTAACTATGTCTAAATCATAGAGTTTCAAATCTTTTTGCAAATCCTAACAATCGAAACATACAGTAATGATCAGGTTCAATTGTTCACAAAACTCCTAAGCCAAATCTCATTGCAAATAGGTGTTTTGCTCATCTAATGCTAGTTCAGGTTATCAATAATATTCTCACATCTATTAATTAACCTAGGATTTTCGGATTTTAGATGATGTGTCTAAGAAATCGATTTTAAAACAAGCAGAGATACCGAACCAAAAGATAATCTGAACAGATAGCAATTCTACAAAATCTTCATCAACCTTTGAAAAGCTCTAACTTAACTAGCAGATTATTCAGACATGATCATGGAATCACAAAGCATAGCTGAATAAAATTGCATTAAAGAGAAAGAGTAAAAGTTAAAGGGGTTCTAAATCTTTTCAAAAGAGTACAGGGTCTGTCTCCCCAAAAAGCTCTGAATAAATCTCTCTCTAGAGCTCTCTGAATTCTAAAGTCTGAGATCCAAGCCAACAATGGCTGAAAACCTAATATATATAAGCTAAAACACGAGCTGGGGCATTTTTGCAAATACTGGAATTTTGGGGCCAATTATGCAAATAATCCTCCATCTTTTAGAAAACCATCATGACTCCTTCCTCTATGGGTGACGAGCGTCACCTAGCAGTGGTGACGATCGTCACCCAACTCTGTATTCGCCTTCCGAGTTGCACACTTCGTGGTTGTATCTTGCAATGCTCCAAAAAGCTCCATAGTCTCCAATTATGCTCTAGACATGCTATAACCTGCAAAGACTCTACTAGGACTCTAAAAAGACCAAAAAGACTCAATAAAAAGGACTTATACCATAGTTAAAAACCATAAAAACCATGATATATCAATCACTACTTTTTGTCTTTAAACATGCATATTTTGCTTCTTCTTCTCCCTTTTGCATACATTTAGGAGTTAGTGTAGTTTTAGTAGCTGCATTGCATTTTGCATGCATTTGGAGTTTTATTAATGTACTAGAAAGAGTGTGGAGGCCATGTGGTGCAATGGATGTGAGTTGGAATGAAGCAAAACAATGGACAAAGGCGGATAGGCCAATATCGACATCATCTGATCGATACAGAGCA